TGATAATTTTGAGTAGGATTATACTTTACGTGCAACGTAAGATAAAAATGAACAATTAGAAATATATTAATCATAAAAAGTTTATTAAAACGTAACAATTGATGTATAAAATTACAAATATAATTGTTTTATGTATATTAAATATATGCTTGTATTAATTTTAACAAAATATAAATTTATATTTTATGTGATATTCTCGAAATGACTATTTTTTCAAGTGGAATTTGTTTTTAAGATATTTATTAACAACTGCAAAAAGTTTCAAAATTATGGCATATCTACATCTACAGTTATTTTGTAATTTATATCAGAATATCGTGAAATCCCATAAGAACTCGTGTTAAATTAAAATCGTAATAACTTTTTAACAAGGCTCGCAAAAGAGCTGAAATTTTGCATAATTTCCTTTTTTAATATTATCTACTGACTGGCAAATTTTGAATAATCTGGCATATCTTTTATCTCACCCTGAATACAACTTTGAGATCAAATATCAAAAAAAAATATTTTTTTAATTTCTTTTTTTTGAATCAAAAGTTTGAGTTTCTGCGTCAATAAAAAAAAAAAAAATAAACAAAATCTCTAGTAGTTTCGAAGATATAAGCGTTCAAAAGACTGATTTTTTTCTAGAAACGCCGATGCGCGTAATTTCCAAGTGAGTCTGGAAAAGCCACGTCTGTGACTCTACAAAGGGTTTTAATAATATAATAAAACTGTGTATAAAAATTTTCTCTTTTCTTGCAAAAATATAATCTACTTCTTCACTTGACAGGTGTATATTTACGAAGGAACACAAAACGACAAATTGAATTCAAACATGAGATTCGAGAAAATTTCCACACGCGAAAAAGGAAAACTCGAAGTAAATAACTTTGTGGATGATCGAAATTTCTAAGGCACCGAGTGAATTCGAGATCGTATTCTACTCGCGCAATAAATACAAATGTCGAAACTGTGGCGAAGAAACCGGACGAGAAGCCACCTTCCACATTTTATATATGAGATTGCACTTCTTGAAGAGATATTTCTTTTTCCGAACGAAGTTCCAAAGAAGTACGGACGTAGGAAATGCAGTTAACTGCAGAAAAGGGCGCATCCTCCTCCGTGCGCGCGCGCAATGGGATTCACAATTTGAAATTCTAATTCGTTCCGGCGTCGTACCGATAGAATTTTAAGCAAGAAGAAAACTCACGGCGAGATGAGACTCCGTAGCGCGAAAAGATCGAAGTCGCGAGATAAATAAGTAAGTAGACAACCGAAGGAGTGAGAGGAAGAAGAAAATAGTTTAGAATCTAAAGTGAGAATCTACACATTCGTAAACAAGATATTATACAGATATTTGGATTGTATCAAAAGCGATATAATAAAATAGCGCGAAAAAAAAATGCGTGGGGAAAAAGAAAATATAGTATCGCAATAAAAATAGCGATTCTCTTTCTCTCTCTCTCTCTCTTCCTCCCTTTCTCTCTCTCTCTTAAACGGAGAGATCGATGTAATACCATAGTCTCTCGGATGAAAAGCGGATAATAACGGTTGCGCGCATAAATCGATGCGCCCCTTTTACCGTTAATAACATACACACATATAACCCGACTGCGCGCCGAAAGAGCAAAGAGAGGGTGGGAAAAGCGAAAAGAAAAGAGTGGTCTCTCGCCGTAATCCTCCTCGCGCGAGTCGCATAAATCAGAAGCGAGATAGAATCAGAATTATTCGCGTCGCAACACTTCGCTTTTAATGGAGATTTAAATCACCGAACACACACAACGGCGAGTTTTACGCCCCGTTTGTCGTTGTTCTCTATACAGCCCAAATGTATATACACTCGAATATATCGCCGCTTCTGACGGATGTGACGGGAGAAACGATGCGAGAGTATCCGAATTCATCGGATCTGGTGGTGTACATATCGTGTGACAAAACGGGAGGGGGGAGGAGAAAATTCGCGTTTCGCAGTTACACCAAAAATGTACGGAACCTCCGCAGAGGGAAAAACGAATAAAAAAGTCGATTCGCGCAATCGATTTCGAGCAGGTGCGGTTCTTCGGTTCGATGTTACGGGCCTCCCGATATATTCCGCGCTGCGATCGTAAATACAGATGATTATCGGACGGCAAATTGGAATTTTTCCGGGAATATCTGTGAAGCGAGAGAAGTAAAGGGGGAAAAAATATATATACATATTGCGAATTCTATGAGCGTGAAATTGACGATTAAAATGTCATGTAACGCGACAAAACAACAACATTACTTTCGAGATAAGTGTGCGTCGTAAAGATAATATAGAAATGCGTTTATCGAGCGCGGAAACATAAAACTCTATCTATCGGGATATTATTAATGTTATTATACATAAAATCTCGAGTTGAGCGCAATTAAGTTTAGCGCAGAAAACGATAAAATATTTTATAGAATTTTTTTGATTTATTTAACTCTTTGTGATTATTATTTGAGTTGGTCGATAAGTAATGTCGGAATTTTCGACCAAAAAACAAAAACAATTCTTTTTTTATAATATAGAAAACTTTATTCAATGACGTATTAACCACTTTGACCATCTTACAAAGTAACTTCATAACGCATCCTTCCAGAATTTCCCATCTTTTTCGGCAAAAAATCTTGAAACACACATTTTGCAGGCCGACATTACTTATGAAATAAACTGATGTACTGCCTATCTTTTTCTTAATGGTGAGTTGTAATTATTACTTTGCATTTATCCTGTACTGCTTCTCTGATTTTTGTAAGGTTTTATATTAATTTGCTTATGTAGATTTTTGTATGCCACTGAGGATGACTCAAACCAAGAGTCGAAACGTTTGGCATGTTTAAATAAAGATTTTTGTTCATATATCAACACCTAGTATTTGACTCCGTATTGGCCCTCTTGCATATATATTTTTTAACAATTTCACGGAGTATAAATCAAACACATATATTGTTAAAAATAGTATGTTTTTACAGTTGAATTGGAATAACGGCAATATTGAGCCAGTGCAGGATGTTGTGCAATAAATAAATGTACTTCAAAGTAGTTTTTAACAAAACGTGTCGGCTATATTTTAAGCCCTTATCAATTGCATCTAGTAATACACGGTGAAAAGTAAAAATTAGAATAGGTATTATATAGTCTTAACACACATAAATAGATTTTTTTATACATAAATGGATTACTGACCTTAAATACTAATGTTTACAAAAGTGGTAGTCACATATTAAACAATAAAAAAAAAAAAAAAAAGATAATAATCAGTATCAAATACAAGTCGTACTTGCTAGAACGTAAAATCGATACTGAGTCAAAGTGCAATCGATCGAACTGTAATGAGGAACACAACTCCCTCTGTGTGTTAAAATAGGACTTTTTCAAGTATAGGGATGTATGTATCGTGTAAAGTCTCTGTGTCTCTCATTAAATTCAATCCCTGCTCCTGTTTTTTAATAAATACCATTTCAGAAGTCAAACGTTTATGATAATTGTTTTCTATGTCTAATATTTTTACTGAACTCCAATCAAAGCTATGGCCCGTTTCCATGCTGTGTTTAGCAACTACAGACGTATCAGTTTGTCCTTTCTTAACATAATTGATATGTTCTTTTAATCGAGTTGTTAGTTGTCTTTTTGTTTGTCCAACATAAGAGGATGTGCATTGTTGGCAAGATATCCGGTAAACAACATTTTTTTGTTTATTGAATGGAACCATATCCTTATGTGTTTTAATAAATTTCGACAACTGGTTTAAATTCCGATATGCGGGATTAATGGTTTTGTTATTAATTTTATAGTGGTTAAAATTGGAGTTGGGCTTGTGAATGTATGGGATGACAAAAAAAAGTTTATCAGTCTCTGCATCTTTCTGTATATAATTATTAATGTGTTTGTTAAGTTTATTGGTGAATAATGTTCTCAATCTCCTATTAATATTATTAAAAATAAAATCTATTGGATAGTTGTTATTTAGTAAAATGTCAATAGTAAAATGTAAATTTTTTCTAAAAAATTGTGGATCTGAGAGAAGAATTGCTCTATCTACAAGTGAGAAAATAGTGCCTATTTTTTGACTGATGGGGTTTTGTGAATAATAATTTAAATAACGGCCAGAAAAAGTTGGTTGTATGTATGTTTTTACTTTACAGTTTTTAATATTTAACATTGTAATATTTTGCTAAAATTAATTTTAGATTGTGATTTTTCAAACATTATGTTTATAATATAAAGTTTTACATAGTTTCTCTCTCTCTCTCTCTCGACAGAATAGATTTCGATGTAGGTAGACTGGATGGTGATTACCTATTAGTCAGAGTATTGTGAATGATATCAAGCTTCATTCCCTCTTGAAGTATATAACAAATGTATTCTTTCTGTAGATATTTCTGAATAAACAAAATTGTGTTTTAATGCAATTTCTATAGAATTTTTTCTATTGTTTCTCTGTTTTAGTCAAGACAATTCAGAACCAATTCGTCCAACGAATTTCTATTTCTAGTATATACATTTCATTTTTTGTTTTACATAATATCTCCGTTATAACTCTTTCTTTTTTATTACGTTGCATTCAAACGCTTATCCAAACGTTAATTCATATTTTGTGCCTTTTACTATATCTATTATTTACTACGCTTATTACGTTTGTATTATTTTTCTAATTTCGTCACAATTATTCTGTTGAATATTCTTTTTTATTATTAAATAAACAAAGTTAAAACTTTGTCAATAAATGAGAGTTATTCGAAAACTCTGTTAAAAAATTTCGATATTCTTATTGACAAGAGCTCGGGATCAACTAAATAACAATATAAAGTAGCTTCCTTTTTTCGCTCTGGAGTGATTTAAATGCATTCCGGTGATGTCAACGACGCTCTCCGGGAGTTTAAAGCGTGACGTTCGTTCGTTCGCGTTCTCTCGCCACACACGGAAACGGAAAACGGGCAGTACGTTTAACCTAAAAGGCCCGCGCGTACTCGTAGTAGTCCGATTTATATATTAGTTTTATTATACGTACCTCCGACAGAGCGTCCTCCATCATATCGCTCGTGTCCCTCATGACTCTCGATGGAAACTAGCACCGACAACAATCACTCAACGCCCACGATATACTTCCTCGCCTCTCCTCTCCTCTCCTCTCTCGTGTAGAGTCGCGACTACTTTCCTCTATCTGTCTGTCTATCTTTTTTCCTCGCTCCGTTCTTCTAGCTCCGTTTTCCAACGTATGGGTATGTACACACCGACGTACGTGCGATGATTATCTCTCTTATACTCGTTCACTCACTTCGTTTTGTCTCTCTCCTTTTTCTCTCTTCACGCAGAGAGACGGGAGAACACAATATGTATCCCGTAGATTACCGAGCTACGCGAGAATAAGAAGTCAATCCGATGACAAGTGCTCGCGACAGACCGCCTGCTCCGGCAGCAACACCACCGAGAGAAGGAATTCCGTGACGTCACGAGGTACACATCTCTTCTTCTATCGCCAGCGGGCGGGCGGGCGGTCGGTCGGTCTCGCGCGTTTCGCTGTCGCTCGTATTGCTGCTGCGTGCCGCTGCTGTTCCTGCTGCTGCTGCTGCTGCTGCTGCTGCTGCTACACGGCTTTTGACGGATCGATCGTATCGCACAACGTGTCGCTCTCCTCCTGAGGCCGCTTATCCACCCCCACCGTCGACGTCGTTGACTGTCGTTGTCGCGATTACACGCGAAAATATGGCCTCGCGATTACACGCGAGCACGTATGTTTTCAGAATATAATAGAAGTGATTTTATCGAAAAAAAAAAAAAAACATTTCTTGCGACGCACAGCTGTAGTCTACTTTCGCAGCAAACTCGGACTCGTTGTTTTTTGTTGTATCTGTGTATCTCGCGGACGGGATACACCGAGTTCTCCTTCGCCGAGTTCTCCTTCACCACGCGCTGCCGAGACGCTCGTAGCCGCGCGATCCACCGGAGTACGCGACTTCGGAGACACTGGTTGGTCGGCGCCATGCGCGCGCGCTGCCAGGTAACGCCGAGTGTGTCTCGCAGGTCGAGACCCTCCTGTGCCAGAAGGCAGATCTGCCTCCATGACAGTCGGCGCACGCACACACACGCGCACTCTATGTGTGTCTCTATCTCTGTCTCTGTCTCTGTCTCTGTCTCTCTCTCTCTCTGTCTCTGTCTCTGTCTCTCTCTGTCTCTGTCTCTGTCTCTCTCTCTCTCTGTCTCTGTCTCT